GACTCGATGGAACCTAACAACAACAACCTTTCAAACATCGAAATTAACTCATGACTAAGCTAAAATTCGATTTCCACCCATTTCTATATGATCTTACATAAACTAAATTCTCTAAAGTTTAGATTTCTCAGCTAGAAAATCTGTTGTTTTTTGTTATTGTTGTTTAGTGCTGTCGAGTTGTTTTTGACTCATAACAACCCTGTATGGAGTTTTTGCCAAGGGACTAATTGGTGGGTTTGAGCCACAAATTTTGTGGTTAGCAGCCCAGTGCTTATCCTACAGCACCACACCAGGACAGTAACAGTCATTATACAGAAAGAGAAAATTCTTCGTATTGTAATCACATCATGCTTGGTGACGTGGAGGGTCAGCAATACAGAGGAAGACCCCCAAAGAGATATATTAGCACAGTGGCAGCAGCAATGGGCTCAATCACAACAATGCTTGTGAAGTTGGCACAGAACCAGGAAGTGTTTTGTTCTGTTGTACCCAGGGTCACTCTGACTTGGAACTGACTCAGTGGCACCTAACAGCAACAACATGGGCAAAGTATTGAAGGATGCACAAAAAATCCAAAGAAGATGGAAGGAATACAGATATAGTCACTGCATTAAAAAGAATTAGTTGAGATTCAACCATTTCAAGAGTTAGTATATGATCAAGAAACCATGGTCCTAAAGGAAGAAGTTCAAGTTGTGCTGAAGGCATTGGAAAAAACAAGTCTTGAATAAATAGATGGATGAATAGATAGAATCCCAATTGAAATATTTCAGCAAACTAATGCAGTGCTGGAGACCCTCCCTGGTCTGTGCCAAGAAATTTTAAAGACCTGTCCAACCTGATCAACTGATGAGACCGTATCTGTGCCCTTTCCAACGAAATATACCAGGGTTGTATCATTTCACCATACTTATTCAATCTGTATGCTGAGCAAATAATCTAAGAGACTGGATTAGATGAAAAAGAACATGGTGTCAGGATTGGAGGAAGACTCATCAACAATCTGCCATATGCAGATGACACAACCTTCCTTATTGGAAGGCAAGAAGACTTACAACCTTCAGTATAGATTGTACTTCAATGGAAAGAATGCAAAAATCCTCACAGTTGAACCAATAAATAACATCATGCTATGCATGTGACAGTTGGACAGTGAACAAGGAAGACCAGAGAAGAATTGATACATTTGTTTTATTTTGTTGGTGATGAATATTGGAAGCACCAAGGACTGTCAGAAAAACAAACTAATCTGTCTTGGGGAAAGTACATCCAGAAAACTCTTTAGAAGTAAGGATAGGGAGATTTGCCTCTTGTTCTTTGGATATGTTGTCCAAAGTGGAGGGTCATCAGAAAAGAGGAAGACCCCCCAAAGAGATGGATTGATACAGTGGCAGCAACCATGAACTCAAACACAACAATGG